ATATTTTATATGGGGGAAACATTTTAAACATCTAAGCCCAACTCCATGCTCCATGCATATCTCCGAATTGTAGCTCAATGCAAACTTTTAGGCTTCATTCACGCAGACAACTGCTGCTGGTGAGAATTATCCAAACTAGCAGCATGCAGTGTGCGAAGAGCTGTGGGCAGAATGATACCCTGTAGAAGTCACAGGCGGGCGCTGGTGCTGATTGCATGCAACTGCTTATCCCAGTGAATAGGAGCTCTGACTGACCCAGGATGCAGACGTTTGCTTCCAGGGACGACATTTGGAAGCGATATTTGGGGCCTTAGCACAGCTAAGTCCTAGAGTCTAGAGGTGTGCAGCTGTAAACTCTGATCCCTCTGATCCCCTTGTATTGAATTGTATTGTGACTGTACAGTCTCCCTCCATGTTGTAAAGCACTGTGCAAACTGTTGGCAATATATAAATCATGTGTAATAACCTGAATGAAGCAGCCCCCCCCCATCGGCCAGTCTGAATGAGGCCTTATAACTTTAGTCAGCCTGCAGCTTTGTTTTAGTTACAGATCTCCATAGAGATCAGAGGGGCCTCCTGAAGATATCACATAGTGCTGACAAATCCCAGTGAGCCTTACTGGGAAAGGTCATTCTAAAAACTGAGCTTCTCTACAAACAATTGTACAATTAAAAACACACGATGATACTTAACATTATGCCCAATCCATCTGTACTAGTTGGGGGTAAAGGCATTTTCTTGGGGGGGGGTAAGAATAAGCAGGGGGGGCGGACCGACCATTCGGGCACTGCCCGAGGGCCCTGGGTATGCTCCTGGTACCTTTCATAGGCTTTTCTGGGTGTGGTTTGAGTGTGGGCGAGGACACGGGGCCCCATGATCCCCTATTGCCCGGGGGCCTATGAGTCGTCAGTCAGCCCCTGAAGTATAATCATTCCTGGAAATGTAATTAAAGGATAAGTTCACCTTTTCATAAAAACAAAATTAAAGAAAAAAAAAAAAAGAAATAATATATATATATATATATATATATATATATATATATGAACACCACCCTCTCCCAGTCCTTGCTGCTGTAAATGCCATCCCCCACCACTCCTGCCAGCCGGGGTAACAGGCCACACACTTGTGGCATTAGAACGCTTGCAGCGGCTGGAGTTCGTTCATCAGGGTGGTCACATGACTGCGCTGACCGATAAGGTCTTCTTTCTTCTGGGACACTGCCCTGGAAGAATGAATGCTCAAAAGATTCTCATTGGTCAGTGTAATCACATGGACGTACCGACCAAGGACCACTAACCGTTGTAAGTTAGCTCACCTTCCCAGTTTTTTTCTTCTTTAGTGCGTTTCCTTCAGTCTTCAGCCGCTCATACATGTTCTAATCAATACAATCTCTCCTAGATCTACCATCTATGTCAGCCATTCTCAGCCGGGGTTCCAGAGCAATACATTAAGCACAGGAGCTTTGTAGCTGTTTGGGGCTCATTTATGTCAGCGCTTGTTGGCCCCTCTGAAAAGAGATCCACGGTGGACTGGTTTTCAGGAGGGTGGACTGGTTTTCAGGAGGGTGGTTTGACAAGTGTCTGGGAGGCGATGTTTCTATTTTAACCCTGAAATGCCCACACCGCCATCATGTGCGCTGCAATAGGGTGCAGTGAGGTCCCATCCGCATAAATGGCTGTGTTCAATTGCTGCACACCCCACCAAAAGCAACATTTGTGCTGTGGCCGTGAAACAATGCATCATGACTGCAGCATGTGTACATCCCCCTACAGCTGCTGTGGTAGATTTAAGGCTAGTTCAGATCGCTCTTCAGAGAGCACTTGACAAGCAGGGAGGAGGAGCTGTATCACCTGTTTTAATGCCTTAGATGCCCGGTGACTTTGCCACAGCGCAGCCCATTCATTTGAATGAGTTGTGTTTGGCATGCAGTAGCATCCACTGAATGTAACATGGTATAATTCTTGCTGCTGCCACAAAGCAAAGAATCACAGCCATGATATGCATACACCCCTGGCCACTGCTTCCCAGCTAAAGGGGGAGTGGTTGGGGGTCTGGGGTGGTAAAAACATCTCAAGCTATGGTTTTACTACCGCTTTTAATTACTGAAGTAAACATATACCCAAGAGTGGCAGTAAAACTATGACTTATGCAGTAAAGCATGCTTGTTATACTCACTGTGGAACCTAAGGGGTTAATCCTCTGCATTGTGTAAAATGGAGGTTTGATCCTGTCTTCTCTGTTCCTCCCCTTTTCCCCTGCATCTCTTTGTGCTGTGCAGAGAGATACAAAGCAGCATGTCCTTGCTTGCATGAGAGTTCTATGGTGTTTACACACAGGTCTCTCCCCTGGCAGCTTTCCCCGACGATCGGCAAGTGTCAGTCAGGAATCGCCAGCAGGGACCCGGCGATTAACATCCCTAGCCACCAGTAGCAACGCAGGTAGGGCGGCATGCGCACCCCCTTCCCAGAAATGCAAATCACACACACACACATACACACAGTAATACCTCGGTTTACGAATTAAATTTGTTCTGCAGGACTTTTCGTATAGCGAAAATTTGTAAACCGAAACGCCGTTTCCCATAGGAAAGCATTGAAAACCAATTAATCCGTTCCGGAGGTCAGACAAAAGTAAACACTACTAAAATACTGCATGAGTTATTTTATCACCTCATGTGGTATTTTAGTAGTGACAACCATGGGCTAATGTTTCAGCTGTCAGCGGGGTTCCCCACTAATAGCTGAACGTAAAAGAATTGCCGACAATTAAAAAAAAATTATTAAAAACATGGCGTGTGGTCACCTCCTCCATCCATACCAAACCCTTATCCAAGCATGCAGCCCGGCAGGTCAGGAAAGGGGGGGGGGGGGGGAGACGAGAGAGTGCCCCTCCTGAATCATACCAGGCCACATGCCCTCAACATGGGGGGGGGTGCTCCTCCCCCCCAAAAGCACCTTGTTGCCATGTTGAAGGGGGCAAGGGCCCCCTCCCCACAACCCTGGCCAGTGGTTTTGGGGGTCTGCCGGCAGGGGGCTTATCGGAATCTGAAAGACCCCTTTAACAGATCTTGCCCCCCCAATGTGAATGAATATGGGGTACATGGTATTCCTACTCATGAACAAAAAGTGTAGTGTGAAAAAAAAAAAAGGCAGGACACGGTCTTTGACAAGTCCTTAATTAAAATAAAAAACTAAAAGATGTCCCCCGCAGTAGATCCAGCGTCAATCACAATGCTCGCTGCCACCGACCCGAAAAAAAAAAAAAAAAACAAAAACAGAACAAAAAAAAAAAAAAAAAAAAAAGAAAACCAGAAAAAAAAAAAAAAAAAAAAAAAGGTTCCGCACCCGAGGATGGCTTCCGGCCTTCTGCCTGCTCCAATGGTTTGACAGTTCTTAAATATGTAGGGGGCGGGACCACCCGGGACATCACGCATGTGATCCCACCCCATGTGACATCAATGATGTCACATGGGGCGGGGTCACTCAGGCCAACGGAACAGGCAGATGGCAGCAGCACATCGTCGGAAGCCGAGCTTTTTTTTTTAAATTTTTTTTTTTGGGTCAGCGGAGGGCATCGTGATTGACGTTAGATCTACTGCAGGGGACATTCTTTTAGTTTTCTCTTTTAATAAAGGACTTGTCAAAGACCGTGTCCTGTCTTTTTTCACACAACACTTACCCGATACACATGGGGGGGTGTATGGATAAGGGTTTGGTATGGATTTTGGGGGGGACCACCACACCAACTTTTCATTTTGGCATGGGAGTTCCCCTCAAAATCCATACCAGACCCGTAGGGCTTGGTATGGATGGGAGGGGGAACCCCACGCCGTTTTATTAAATTTAATTACGGTGTTGGTTTTTAAATGTAATTACCACTTTTTTTCCTTCACTATAGCTCAGAAATTCAGCTGTCACTTCCTCCCAGCTAAAAGAGAAAGTTTTTTAGTTTATTTCACAGAGTTAAGAGAAACAATGTTTCCTTTTAGTTTCTTAAAAGAAACAGTTTCCATTAACTCTGGGGAAAGTGACAACATCTAATTCTGTGAGCTATAGCGAAGGAAAAAAAATTGCATTTAAAAATCAGCACCGACATACACTTCATATTGCGAAAAAAAGTCAAACTGAGGCATTATTTTCAATGGATTTTAATTCGATAATTACGTTAACCGAGGTATTACTGTGTATACATACACACACACCATTATATATATATATACACATACACAGCCAGACGTGATTTTGCGCAGCCCTGCCACCCTGTAGCAGTACTACTAGAGGACGGCAGGCAAGTGGTTAAACAAAAATCATACACTCAAGTATCGTACAAGAAAAACTTTCCCCCTTGTACTTTGAATAACTTCAAACGGAAGCTGTGTACCACCAATCAGTTTATCGGACAAAAACTCTGAAATCAGTATTTTTCATCTGATTTCCTGATTGTGTGTACTAGGTTTTAGGAAGACCATTCATGCTACAATCTGATTGTACAATCTCCTTTAATACAACCAATTAACGTGAGGGTCCAAGGTAAGATCACACCACAATCTGATTGTACAATCTCCTGTAGCTCTGTGTAAATGTATGGGTCTGCCTGACTGGAAAGATGAGGAGGGTTCTCAGATGACATAGTTGTCAAGGACCTGTACAATCAGATTGCACAGCGTATGGTGACTCTTAGGCAGATCATTCAGGTTACACTTTAATTGTCCAAGCTCCTTTGATGGTCTGTGCTAAGCGGAGCACACACACACATTACAATCTGGTTGTACAAGCTCCTTTAATATGAACACACCTAGGTAATGTGATGGTCTATGATAAGCAGGCCTCACATGTTACAATCTGGTTGTACGATCTCCTTGAGATCTGCCTGCTTGTATACCGAGTGTATAGAAGAAGCAGCTCCGCCTATGGCAATCAGTGAGGTTTATGGAGCGGCCATCGTCCGATGAGATCGGGGGTGTATGTGTACACAGCCGGGGGTGATCCCCCCTTCCTCACCTTGGCCTTGTCGGCCGCCTTCTTCTTGCTCTTCTTCCGGGCCTCGTCCAGCCGGACGCTCTTGCTGGGTAGAGGGGCGGCCTTTGCGAGGTGCGGGGCCGGCTCCGCGTCCTCCGCTGTGGCCGCTCTCCTGGCTGGGGAGGCCCGGGCCGAGGCGCAGTGTAGCAGTAGCAGGAGGAGCAGCAGGGCCAGGAAGGCCGGCACGGCCAGGAAGACCCAGGACGGGTACAGCTGAGGCTGCAGGCCGAGCTCCACTCCCAGCTCGGTGCGGAGGAGGCCCAGGCCTGTGGTCAACAGCTGCCGTAACCGGGCCGACACCTCCTCGGCGTGCTGGGCCGCTGCCTCCTGCCAGCCGGACGCCATGGTGGATGAGGAGCAGCGGGCCTTCCTTCCTGCCCGGCCCCGGGAACTCCTGCAAGTGTCAGCAGCCGGAGAGTGAGAGCCGGAGGAGGGGAGAACGACTGGAGAAAAGCCGGCTCCGCCCAGGGCCTAACTCCGCAACGTCATCACTCCGGACCACATCAGGGGAATGGGGGAGACCTGCGACGCCTGCCAGGCAGCTCTAACACCGCCCTCATCACCACCCTGCACTGATTGGACGGCACTAGGCGCCTTCTCCAATGGGAACAAGCGCTGAGATCACACGGTGTTCCGCCGTCCGGGCAGAACAGCATGGAAGGCAATAGTCTACGAATACAAGGCTGGGGCCTGCAGGGAGTGGGTCGGGTCACGTGATTTTGCTCAGCTGCTGACGTGGACTCAGCTCAGCGCTGTGTGAGGGAAGAAAGTCCTCCTGAATCAAATGTTAATTATCCCTGCAGAAGGATGAGCTCGAACGTGTGTAATAAAATATCCACGGTTCATTGTAACTTTATGTAGCTCGTGAAAAACATTTTAAGCTGCCAGTATGCAACATGGCTGACCAGACGTGTCCATTGTACTGCGCCTGCACAAAAGGAGCGTCCGGACGTCTGTTTTTTTTATTTCAAATAAACTTTAATGAAACTAGTTGTGCATACAGTATTTTTCTGTCACAATGATAAGTTAACCACTTGCCTACTGGGCACCTTTACCCCCTTCCTGCCCAGGCTAATTTTCAGCTTGCAGCGCTGTCACACTTTGAATGACAATTGCACGGTCATGCAACACTGTACCCATATGACATTTTTATTATTTTTTTCACACACATAGAGCTTTCCTTTGGTGGTATTTAATTGCAACTGGGTGTTTTAATTTTTGTGCTATAAACAAAAAAAGAGCAAAAAAAATTGAAAAAAAAAGTTTTTCGTCGTTTCTAATATAAAATTTTGCAAACAGGTAATTGTTCTCCTTCACTGATGTGTATTGATGAGGCTGCACTGATAGGCAGCACTGATGGGCAATGATGAGGTGGCATGGATAGGCAGCACTGATGGGCACAGATGAGGTGGCACGGATAGGCAGCACTGATGAGGTGGCATGGATAGGCAGCACTGATGGGCACTGATGAGGTGGCACGGATAGGCAGCACTGATGAGGTGGCACGGATAGGCAGCACTGATGAGGTGGCATGGATAGGCAGCACTGATGATGCTGCACTGATAGGCGGCACTGATGGGCACAGGTGGGTGGCACTGCTGGGTACAGGTGGGCGGCACTGATCATCAATGCCCTGTTGATCAGTGCCGATCCCTTCGCTGACAATTGGTGGTTCTCGGCAATACTTTCTTTATGCTGTGACAGCGTGGGGAAAAATGCAGCCGATAACCGGCAACTGTATTTACCCGGTGATCTGCTGTGTCATTTGACACAGCTGATCACGTGGTAAAAGGCCGCTGTGATTGGCCGTTTATCATATCACGTGATCAGCTGTGTCCTTAGGACACAGCGATCACCGGCAGTGCCAGGTGCACGCCGCTGGGGGCGTGTTTTGGAATGACGTTCATGGATGTAGTACCAAAACTACACAACTGCGCTGTAGCCGTCCTTCGGTTGGGAACTGGTTAAAGAGGAAGTTCATTCTGGGGAAAAAAATAAACTAAAATTCAGCAGCCACAAATCCTGTAACTGCTGACTTTTAATAAAAGGACACTTAGCTGTCCTCACCTGGGCCAGTTCTTCCCTAACCTGCAGGTTCCCAGCTCTGGCATCCTAACTATGGGCAGCTGGCTGCCCACTGAGCTTTGTGAATGGTCCCGCAGTCTTCAGGGACCTGGCACATGTCCTAGAAGAGTGCAGGGAGGGTGAGGGAGACGAGAACTTGCCTAGGTGATCCAAGCAGAAGTGGGAGTGGGTACCTGTCAAAACTAGGTACTTTCCCCCCCAAGAAAAAAAAAATGACACACCAAACATGGCAGGGGAGAAGGACTTAGGGCCAGTTCGCACCATATGCAGTCCAGTGCATTTATTTCTGCATCAAAATGCATGCACAGAGTTTTCTATGTATTCCAATGGACCTAGTTCACACTAGTGCAGTCAGTTCCAATCAGTTTCCAGTGCAGAAAAAAAGTAGAACACGCTGCAATTTTTTTCTGCACAGAACTATTCTGGAACTTGGTAAAACGCATCAAAACTGCAGCGAAACTGCATGTGGTGTAAACTGTCAGCAAAATCATATCTGGAATGCATCTGTAGTATGTGATTGTGGTGTGAACTGGCCCTGAAAGTGGAATTTCCCCTTTTGGGTGGGGTTCCACTTTAAAAAGCCTTAGGGTCCTTTCACGCTGCAACATTTTTGCTGCACTGAGGGCTAATTCACACCATAGAAATGCAGCCCGGATGCATTCTGGAAGCATTTCTGATGTGTTCTGGTACATTTTTCCCCTCTTTTGTCATCACTATATAAGGACTTGTATGTTTTGGTGCGTTCCGGTACGTTTTTGATACATTTTTGTACATTTTCCCCTCTTTTGCAATCACTATATAGGGACTTGTGTGTTTTGGTGTGTTTCGGTACGTTTTTAATGCTTTTTTGTACATTTTCCCCTCTTTTGTCATCACTATATAAGGACTTGTGTGTTTTGGTGCGTTCCGGTACGTTTTTTATGCATCTTAGCACGTTCCAGTACAGTTCAGTGCAGAAATAATGCAACATGTTCTACTTTTTTCGAGAACTGGAATGCACTGGAAGTGACCGCACTGGTGTGAACTATGCCATTAGAAGCCATAAATCCTACTATCAATGCGTTTTTAATGCGCAAACACCCCCACTGGACTGCATGTGGTGTGAACCGGTCCTAAAACACACTAAAAAGTGCATGAAAAGGATTCCTCTTTAAATCTTAAGAAACTGATCACATCAGTGCACTGTGTTTTGAAAAGTCCTGTGTTCAGCATCTTTAATGAACCAAAAATGCACCTTCCATTATGACTGAATAATAACGCACCAAAAACACATAATAAATGCACCCACCATTGTAATTCCATAGTATTGCACCAAAATCACATCAAAATGCACGTGTGGTGTATTTTTGGAGCCTTTTTTTTTTGGGGGGGGGGGGGGGGAAATCACACATCCATGTTTCTCAGGTTCATGCTGGGAGTCAGGGATCAAGAAAACGCACCACAAAAAAAACACATTGAAAACACAATAACATTGCGATATGCATTTTTGTAAAACATATACCGTGTTTTTAAGTGCACCAGTGTGAAAGGACCTTAGGCTCCATTCGCATCAGCGTGTCTTCACAGTGATTTCCAGTGCGACTTTGGAGCGCGATTTTTGAGGCGACCTGTGGTGCGACTTTGATCCGACTTTACATTCACTGGATTAAAGTTGCATCAAAAGTTGTACCAAAGTAGTGCAGGAACTACTTTCAAGTAGCTGCAACTTGAAGTCCTACAGATTTGAATGGTACTCATTGGGAAACGTGAGATGTGACTTGTCATGTGACTTTGGACCTCAAAGTCACATGGCAAGTCGCACAAGGGTTAAAGAACTCTTAGTGATTAAAAAAAAAATATATATAATATTTATTTATTTATTACAAGTACTTATATAGCGCTGTCAATTTACGCAGTGCTTTACACATATATTGTACATTCACATCAGTCCCTAACCCTCAATCTAAGGTATATAATATGCTTCAATTGTTTTTAATTATGGAATGAAATATTGATAATTTCAGCAGTGCCCCAAACCAAGGTCTCCTAAGAGGGAGATAGGGGAAGCTGCATGCAATATATAAGTGATGGTTCCTGGGATAACACATGGATAAATAATATAAAGCAGAGTTTCCAAACTTACGTGCGTTCATTTTCTTGTACTGTGTGTGGTGGTGTGCTACACTGGTGTATGTCTGATCATTGGAATATGTTGGTGTGTTGGCAGCCCATGGAAATGAATGGAACAGAGAGAGAGGTCATTATGTGACATAACATGCGTGTGTTAATGAGGTGCAGCAGGGCAGACCAGTGTGAATGGGCCCTGAAGGACTGCAGCCTGCTATTTAAAAGCTAAATATTTTTTACCTTTATGCATTCTGTGCATGAAGGTAAAAAATCTTCTCTGAGGCAGAAAACGGAGCTATTGGTTCCCGCTGCTGTCAATCACAGCCAGTGAGCCAATGAGAAAAGAAAGGGGGCGGAGCCGAGCCACGGCTCAGTGTGTGAAGAATGAACACATGGAGCAGTGGGTGCCCCCATAGCAAGCTGTTTGCTGTGGGGGCACCCAACAGGAGGGAGGGGCCAGGAACGACCAGAGAAGAGGAGCATTCGGGCTGTTCTGTGCAAAACCACTGCACACATCAGGTAAGTATAGACATGTTTTTTATTTAGAAAAAAATAATTAAACATTTGGAATTGCTTTAAGTGTAAATGGATTTCAAAATTGAAAACAAAATAACCCTGCAGCCAGATTGCCGCATTGTAAAACGTCTGTCACCCCAAGGATAAGCAGGAAACAATTGATTCCTATGTGTACTGTTCACACTGTAAAATGCAAACATGCGGCATTTTATCATGGCGCACTGGCCTGAATATGTTTTGCATACATCAAATAAAGCTCTTAAAAAACAAACAAGAAAAAAAGGGACAGTGCGATGTACTGACTTGCACCCCACACTGCCCGGTAGCGTAGCCGGGAAGGAAGAGCTGTCACAATGGTAAAGCACTGCAGCAGCTCTCCAGAGTATATTCACCTTGAGGCCTCATTCACATGAGCACTGACAAACCTGCGGGACGGACCGAATTTTGATTAATCGATGACCAACTTTACATATAAGAAGAATTCTTCTGGTGAAAGGAGGGTCATCTTACTGGAGAATGTAGCTACTTGCTTTAGGCCTCATTAACATAGGTGGCAAGGTGATAGTAAAAGCAGACAGTTGGGCCATGGTTCTACAGCCTCACCTCCAACTTCCTACCTAAACATAACCTAAAGCTGG